TTGTCCAAATGAGTCAGACAATTTTTTTCAAAGAATACAGTATAGAGGACTTGTTCTATTGAAATATATGGCAAAGCTGTAATAATTAAATAGAATGGTGTTCAACAGAAATAGAGAAGTAGATCAATGATACAGAAAAGAAAGCTCTTAATCAGAGCTATATGCCTAAGGGAACTTGGCATACCACAGAGTTGGCATCATAAATAGATAAAAAATGAAAAAAGACTGCTCATTAACTTGTGTCAGACTCCCCATATTGAAAAATTAAACCTGGTCCTAGCTAGATGCAAAAACTACAAATTTTAACAGTTCCTTATTCCAGAGAGTGTGAAGAATAGATGGCTTTTCCAGTATTGTTCACATTAGTTATCTCTGAGATCTGGATTTAGGACTATATGAAGAATTAGGAGGATTATGATAGGGAGAGGTTCTGGAGAATTAGGTAAGAAATGTTGTTGCTGCTGTTAGGCACTGTCGAGTTAGTTCCAACTCACAGTGACCTTATACACATCAGAATGAAACACTGCCAGGTCTTGCACCATCCCCACAATCCTTGCTATGCTTGAGCCCATCATGAGAGCTGCATGTAAATCCATCTCACTGAGGATCTTCATCTTTGTCTCTGACCCTCTACTTTACCAAGCATGTTATCCTTCTCCAGGGATTGGTCCATCCTGACAACATGACCTAAGTACAGGAGGCAAAGTTTCTCCATCCTTGCTTCTAAGGAGAATTCTAGCTGTATTTCATCCAAATCTAATTTGTTTATTCTTCTGGCATCTATGGTATATACAATATTCTTGCCAATACCATAATTCAAATGCATCAGTTCTTCTGTGGTCTTCCTTATCCGTTGTTCAGCTTTCACATGCATATGAGGCAATTAAAAATACCATGGCTTGAGTCAAGCGCAACTTAGTCTTCAAAGTGACATCTTTTCTCTTTAACATTTTAAAGAGATCTGTTGTGGCAGACTTGTCCAATGCAATACATCATTTTATTTCATGACTGCTGCTTCCCACAGTGTTGATTATGGATCCAAGTAAAATGAAATCCTTGACAATGGTGATCTTTTCTCCATTTATTGTGATATTGCTTATTGGCCCTGTTGTGAGGATTTTTCTTTTCTTTATATTGAGTTTAATCCATACTGAAGGATGTAGTCTTTGATCTTCATCAGTAAGTAGCTTCAAGTCATCTTCACTTTTAGCAAGCAAGGTTGGGTCATCTGTATATCGCAGGTTGTTAATGAGTCTTCCTCCAATTCTAATTCTGCATTCTTCATATAGTCCAGTTTCTTGGATTATTTGCTCATCAAACACATTGAATAAGTATAGTGAAAGGATACAACTCTGGCACACATCCTTTCTGATTTTAAATTTGCAGTACCCCCTTTCTCTGTTCAAATGGCTGCTTCTTGGTCTATGTACAGGTTCCTCATGAGCACAACTAAGTGTTCTGGAATTTCCATTCTTCACAAGGTTATTCATAATTTGTTATGACCCACATGTTCAAATGTCTTTGCATAGTCAAAAAAACATAGGTAAACATCTTTCTGGTATTCTTTGATTTCAGCCAAGATCTATCTGACATCAGCAATAATATCCCTTGTTCCATGTTCTCTTCTGAATTCAGCTTGAATTTCTGGCAGTTCCCTATCTATGTACTGCTACAACAATTTGTTAATTATTTTCAGCAGAATTTTACTTACATGTGATATTAATGATATTGTTCAATAATTACCACATCCTGTTAGATCATCTTTATTTGGGACGGGCACAAATATGGATCTCTTCCAGTCACTTGACCAGGTACCTGCCTTCCAAATTTCTTGGCATAAATGAGTGAGTGCTTCCAATACTGTATCCTTTTGGTGAAGCACTCTAATTGGTGTTTCATCAGCTCCTGGAACCTTATTTTTCACCAATGCCTTCAGTGCAGCTTGGACTTCTTCCTTAAATACCACTGGTTCTTGAACATATAATATCTCCTGAAATGGTTGAATGTTGACCAATTCTTTTTAGTACAGTGACTCTGTGTATAATGCTTCGTATGTCATTCAGTATTTTGCCCATAGAATTCTTCAATATTACAATTTAAGGCTTGAATTTTTTCTTCAGTTCTTTCAGCTTGAGAAATGCTGAGCATTGTTCTTCCCTTTTGGTTTTCTAACTCCAGGTCTTTGCACATTTCATTATTGTGATAGTTGGAGCTGTGTGTCAACTTGGCTGGACCCCAGTTCTGTGTGGTTGTTCCCATGATGGGATCAGATGATTATGTTGTGAGTGGCCAATCTGTTCAAGGGGAGTTTCCCTAGGGGTGTAGCCTGCTTCCAGGATATCCAGGGACAACCTGGGAAGAGAGACATTCTTCTGTGGATCGGGATTCCATTATGCTGCCTACAACCGTCTGTAAGTGAGCAGTCCACCGTTTGGCCTGGAGATCTTGGATTCATCATTCATTGGAGTCAACAGCTGGTGTACTGCCTGCCAGCCTTGAGCTTCTCAGCCCCTGTGGTTGTGGGAGCCAGGAAAAGCCTCCAGCTTGACGTTTGACCCAGGGACTTTGGACTTGCCGTCTTCTATACCCTTGTGAGCCATTTTCCTAAGATAAATTTCTCTCTCTCTCTCTCTCTCTCTCTCTCTATATATATATATATATATATAAGCTTTGCTGGTTTTTGTTTCTCTAGAGAACCCAGTCTAACACAATTATAATTGACTTGTCTTCTTGAGCCACCTTTTGAAATTCTCTGTTCAAGTCTTTTACTTCATCATTTCTTCCATTAGATTTAGCTACTCTTTGTTCAAAAACAAGTTTCAGAGTCTCTTCTAACATCCATTTTGGTCTTTTCTTTCTTCCTTGTCTTTTTAATGACCTTTTGCTTTTATCATGTAAGATGTCTTTCATATCATCCCACAACTTCTGGTCTTGGGTCATTAGTATTCAATGGTTCAAATCTATCTAGAGATGGTCTATAAATTCAGGTGGTATATAATTAAAGTCTTATTTTGGCTCTTGTGGACTTGTTTTAATTTTCTTCAGCTTCAACTTGAACTTGCATATGAGCAACTGATGAGCTGTTCCACAGTCAGCTCTGGGCCTTGTTCTGATTGATGATATTGAGCTTCTCAACCACCTCTTTTCAAATGTAATCAATTTTTATGCCTGTGTATTCTACCTGGCAAGGTCCACATGTTTTGTTGCCATTTATGTCATTGAAGAAAAGATATTTGCAATGAATAAGTCATTGGTCTTGCAAATTTCATGCTAAAATACATGCTAAAACATGTATTACACTCAATGCAGTCGTCAATGTCATTTCTATGATCAAGGCCCTATGTTCCAAGTCCCGATTATTCTATGTTTCCAGTTTTCACATTCCAATCACTAGTAATTATCAGTGCATCCTGATTGCATGTTTGATCAGTTCTAGGCTGCAGAAATTGGTAAAAATCTTCAAGTTCTTCATCTATTGCTTTATTGATTGGTGTGTAAATTTTTTAATAATAGTCTTATTAACTGGTCTTCCTTATAGGTATATGGATATTATTCTATCACTGACAGCGTTGTACTTCATGACAGATCTTGAAATATTCTTTTTGATGACAAATGTGGCAACATTCCTCTTTAATTGATCATCACCAGAATAATAAACTATATGATTGTCTGATTTAAAATGGCCAATAACAGTCCATTTCAGCTCTCTAACACCTAGGGTATAGAACTTTATGTATTCTATTCCATTTTTTTGACTATTTCCAATTTTCCTAGATTCATATTTCATATATTCCATGTTCCAATTATTAATGGATGTTTACAGCTGTTTCTTCTCATTTTGAGTCAAGGCTTATCAGCAAATGAATGTTCCCAAAGCTTTACTCCAGCCATGTCTTTAAGGTTGCCTCTATCCCCAGTCAAATTCTGAGCGTCTTCCAATCTGAAGGGTTTATCTTCCAGCACTATAAGAAAGAATGTTCTACAGCTATTCATAAGGTTTTCAGTGGTCAATTGTTTCAGAAGTAGACAACCACGTCCTTCTCCCTAGTCTGTATTAATCTGGAAGCCCTACTAAAATCTGCTCATCATGAGTGACCCTGTCAGTATTTCAAATACTGGTGGCATATCTTCGAGTGCCACAGCAACATGCAAGCCACCACACAGTACAACAAACTGACAGAGTGGTGGGAAATAGGAGCAGTAAATGAAACCTTTTCATTTCTTTTCAATATATTTGCATGTTTGCTCAAAATTCTGGCAAATTTTTAAATAATTACTAGAAAGAAAGAATCTGAGAGAAAATAGAAAGATCAGTCAAGTGGAACCTCTTCTCCCAGAAACCCTGTCCCTCTCCTTCCCTATCTGTGATGATGCTTTCCTGTTCCCCATGATTTGTTCAACTTTGAATTTTGAAATTTTTTTTTTTACCAAAATAAATTTAGCATCTGTTCAATCCATAATGTAAACTTCAGGCTGTGATCAGAATAAAGAAAACTTAATTTTCCTCCCTTTACAAAATCGAAAGGTAAAACGCAGATACAAATACATAGTTTAAAAGCCAAGTCACTGCTAAAACATGTATTACACTAACAACTTATTTTTGCTCAGAAGCTCAGCATGCATTCTCTTCACTTGCAAGTCATAGCCAACAACAGTACTGAATGTGCACAAAGCATATTCAATATTCAAATAGAATACATTTACACAGAACACAGGTATACAATATTTAAATGAAAATTTAATGTTTTAAAAGTATTTCCATTTGGAGAAGCTTTTGCTGAAGGCCATTTAGGTCTCAGTAATTTAACCAATCCATTAATTCAAATAAACACTCTCCAACCAAGAATTTTCACATCTCTTTTTTAAAACTTCCCTTAGAAAGGTGAATAACATGCATTCATAAGGCCCATTCATAAGTTCATTCAAGATGTGAAGAAACTGTCTCGATTAGGATTAGACAACAATTAGATCAATAATAACAGTATTTCTCTAAGTCTTACCTGATCAAATTTTGGCAGACCTGGCACCCTCCAGTACACCTAAATTAACGTAATAAAAACCTCAGTTAGTTTACTAATAGATATGAAAACATATGCAATATTTATACAGTAAATCTCTGTTATCTTCTGTGGTCTGGAAATCAGAGTTTCTGAATACTCATATATCATTTCCCAAATATTTCCGTATGTCATTTGCCAAACATAATTACACCACAGCAACTATGATCTAATTAATAGAACACTGATTTTGAAACCACAGACCTTGATTTCAATCTCATTGATTTAACAATCCCTATAAGCATTAATTTTCACACCTGGAAATAATTTTTGATCCATAAGGTTACTAAAAGGATTATCTGAGATGATATATCTAAAATATCTTACTTTGTCATATATATATAATAATGCTAGTGATTATTATTAAATTATGATAATAACAAAATATTGGGAATCAAGTAAGCAAATATATATATATATATATATAAGCAATTTTAAAATCATAAAGTACTACCAATACAGGAGACAGTTGGTATGATTATAATTATTATCCTTAGTAATCTTTCTTATGATTCAGAAGAAATTTCTTGATTTAGGGGATTAATATTGTGTCATCAACTAGATCTTGGGTGTGAAGAAAATTTAACAAAGGGACTCTAGTGAATATAATGGACTAAAACATAATCAGTTAAGGTTACTCTAAATTATTCCGAAACAAGTATTCAGGTCTTTCACTTCTCCTTCCTGTCCCACACTTTTGGGAATTTCTTTTCTTAGAAGCTACATTTTAACAATTGAAAAGTGGGAAGAAAAAATTACGATTGACTTTATCAGATTTGTTTCTGGTTAGGAGCTACAAAAGAGTCAATCAAAAAACATTAGTAAAATAGATAAATTTTTATCCCTTTAACTGTATACCATAATGAAGAAAATTACATGAAAGCTATAATTTTGAGAATCTTAGTAGTATTGAAGGAAAATGCTGGTATAGGAAGAATGGCCATAGCCATCTGTTAATTTTTTTTTATAATCCCACAAAAATAGAGACTACTTTTTTCCCATAAAATCTAGTGTATCTTGGACCATTCATGGAATTATAGTACTTGATAGTTCTTCTTGAGTCTAATGACCTGAAGTTTATCCTTTTCATGAGGTTCAAGGTAGTTACCAAGATGATTTTCCACTTATAAAAGCAGAAAGAGCTACGTGAACTCAATCTGCTTGCAGCAACCATCACATTACAAGGTGTCATAAAAAATGAAGGGGGAGAAACAAGGTTACCTTGGCATTCCGTAAACATTTTGTAAGCATGTAAAATGAGAATTTCCTAACACAGGGCTTACAAACCATAGGTAATTCAAGGAGGGTGGGACTAGTCAATATTTAACAAAGGGAAGGAGTACTCTGTTCTAACCATCTTCAAAATACTAGAATTTGGATGACCCCACCAAGCTACCCTTCATAATCATAAGGTTGTAATTTTTAAACTTCAAATAAATATAAGGCCAAATGCTCAATCAATATAAAAATAGAATGGTGTTGTTAATTAAAATATTGTCCTTCATTTTTCCTTTATTTTTATTTAGTGATTTTTTATTTTCCCTCAAGAGCAGTGCCACCCAATCTTAATTTCATGGACCTGATTGCTCTGGGGAATTTTCCATAGCCTTTTCTTTCCCTGTCTTTCACTGGCTGCTTTTTTGAACTTCGTTCTATAAGTAGAGTTTCCAAAGGGTTGTCAAGAACTCAGAGAACTCAAACGCAAATAATTACCTTTTGCAGCTCAAATGAAAAGTTTGTGGGAGGAGAATGGAGCTAAAACCAATTGTTTGTATAATCCCAGCACAGTGTTCTGAAGTTTCCCAAATAGCCATCATATCCACAGACAATGTAGTTGGGGATACGAAACAGACTATATATAATAAGTGTCAGCCTCAGAAGTAAATTATTTACTCAAACCTCACGGAATGTATGTAGCAATAGATAATTCCCTGATATCTTACACACTACCCCCATCAAAAAGACCAAGAGTATCAACGAGAAAAGACTGGAATGAAATCCACCACAATATTAACACTGCTTCCATCAGGTAATGTAACTATGATTGACTGTTTTTACTTCATTAATTCATTCAATAGATATTTCTCAGGGGCCTACCATGTGCCAGGCACTGCCATAGACACTGAGGTTGAAGTGAGGTACAAATTGACAAGGTTCTTGTTCTTAGCAAATTTTCTACAATGACAATGTATTACTCTTATAAAAAGAAAAATATTGATTAAAAATAAATAAAAACTACTTTTTATTTATTAAAAATAAATAGATGTTATCAAATCCTCTAACCAGTCATAGCTCTAACTTGTTGTTATGTGCCATCGAGTTGGACCCAACTCATAGTGACCCCTCCTTGGGTTTCCGAAGTAGTATCACTACGGAAGTAGATTGCCCCACCTTCATTCCGAGGAGTGGCTGGTGGATTTGAATCGCCAGCCATCTGGTTACGGTCAAGTGCCTTAGGCACTATGCTACCAGAGCTCCCTTGGTTTCCACAAACAAGCACCCAAGCAATTCTGCTTTTTTTAAAATAATAATAATAATAATTAATTAATTAATTAAAAATTATACCTGTGAGGGTCTTTTGAGCTGGGTATCACTTTGTTGCATTCTCTCTTGTCAAATACTCCTTCAATCCAGGATTTCTGGGACTGAACAGAAAGTGTCATTATTTTCACATTCTAATTAAGTGAAAAGGCAGTGTAACAGAAGCTTACATTTAAACATCATAGGCACTAATGAAAATGCCAAGGCTAGCCCTAATAAGCGGAGCATTTACTTCTTTTACAGAAAAACAGGCACGCACAAACCAACCGAGAACTTAAACATATTCACAAAGTTAATTTCTCAAGTGACAAAATTCCTCCACACACATATTCTAATAAAGATGTAAAGATACAACTAGCATACTCCCTTAGATCTGCTAAAAGTTACTCTTATACCTTGCACCATAATCCTGAGTGAATGTTGTACTCCCAAAATTTCAAACTTCACACTCATAAAATCCCACTTTGGCTAAAATTCCACACAGGAAGCGAGAGAGAGTGTCAGAGGAAAGGTGCAACTCCAGCAAGAGTCAATACACATTCTGTAAGCTTAGCTTGCCACTGACAGTGGTGGCTTCAGGTTGCAGTTTCTGACTGCCCCTAATTCCAAGGAGAATGCTGGTTCTCTTTCCTCCTTACGAAATCTTTCCCTTTGTACAAAAGTCAAATAATAGCCAAGCTGTTCCATAAGCCTTCTGCAAATCTAGAAGCAGAGGACACAGGATCCACAATAATACCCAGTCAACTACTGACCTTGGCCCTCTGTTAAAATGAAAATGTTTTAACTCTATATAAGAATACAGATGTGTTTATAACTTTACATAAACACGTGCATTAGAGTAAAGATGAAAGGGGGATATAGAATCTATGAGGAGGCTTTTTTAAACACCTCCTTGATGCAATGGAATTTGAACCTCATTCTTACACCTACTCCCATCGTATCATTGATGGAAGGGCACTGGGACAGTAAACATGTTACAAATTCAGCTGTGTAAATTCATTATTACACTTGCCTCAGGTCCTCGGGTAATTACAAATGAGCCACTTATAATGAAATCCCTTACATACTTTAATATTAAACTCTTATATCACCAACACTAAACCTAACTCTGTTCACTACTGCACTGTTGTGTTTGTTACCAGCCAACAAGTCAGCCTCTGGCCCTATACTCAACAGAATGATACACTACTGTCCTATTCCATCCCCATGATCAGTTGCAGGTTGCACCGTTATCATCCATAGGGCTTTCATTGGCTGATTTTTCAGAAGTAGATCACCAGGCCTTTCTTCCTAGTCCATCTTAGTCTACTAATTCATTAAAAAAAAAAAAAACTTTGGAAACATCTCCATGGTACATGCCATGAATTCTATGGAACTTAGAGTAAAAAGGAGAAACAAGATAAAAAATTGATATTAAATTTCACGTGTACTGAGTAACTATTAAACACACCTCCAAAAAGTGTCCCTGATTTAGAAGCAGGAGCTCTAGTGGTGCTGTGGTTTAAAAATTTATCTGCTAATACAAGTTCAACAGTTCAAACCCATCAGGTGCTCAGTGGGAAAAAGATGTGGCAGTCTGCTTCCATAAAGAAACCCCATGGGACAGTTCTACTCTGTCCTATAGGGTCACAATGAGTTGGAATCGACTCAGTC